AGAGAGAGAGAGAGAGAGAGAGAGAGAGAGAGAGAGACACATGCAAGAAATATACCTCAGAGGTAGTGGTACTTTTGTATTTGCTTCTATCGTAGACGAATGTCTCACATGGCTTGTATCCTTGAGTGTTGAAACTATTTGGAATAAATGGCTTTTGGCCGTGCGTATCGCCTGTCGATGTATCGACGTACCTGTCGATCGTCTCGTTAACAAGATTAGGGAGATCTAGCTGGTAACATTGTAACAATTCTTGATGCTTAGAGTCTCCTAGATAACTCGCGTTCAGTATATGCGGCGATAAAAGATACGTAGCATTTTCCGGGCTTTCGTGAGGTAACAGACACCTACGGAACGGAAATTATTATTCGTGAAAAAGTTGATAAGTGAAAATGAAAGGAGGAATGGAAAGCCCTACCTGGCATTCATTTTCGCGCTCAGGAAGACGCCGGCAATTTTGTGGAAAGCACAGGATATCGCCGGCAGGCAAAGCAACAGATAGATCCTGCGCTGGTATCGGCCGAACTCTCCCATCCGAAGTATAACATCGTCATACGCCATTTTTCCTTGATACCTCTAATTCTTCTTCGCTTGCGCCTCCGAATCCCCGTGGTCCTTCTGCTCGGGGATACGCTCCTAAGGTAATTTCCTTCTGTCGTCGAATCCGTCTCGCCGGAAATAATGAGCTTCTCGCTGCAAGGAGGTCCAAAGACCTGTCGCGGCCTCAATGAACTGAATCAACCAACAATCCGCGAATTTCAATTTTTGAGAATCCTTCCTTCTTCTATTTTCCTTTATTCTCTGTTCTCTCTCTCTAGAAAGTCAAAGTATCTCTTTTTTTTTTCCCCCCCCTTAAACTTTTAAATCCCTCAAATTTAGATGAATTATTATTTTTCAAGATTTGCGCGTGAATTATGATCAATGAATTGCGACATCTTTAGTCGTGTAACGACGAAACTTTCGTCGAAAACTTTTTCAGGTTCATAGAACAGTCTTTAACAGTATTCTTTATCTGAAGATAGCTTGAATAGTGTGAACGACTTGAGCTTGTCAAAAGTTTAGGACTTAACGATTGATTGTGCTGGCTCGGATGATTTGGTGATCTCCCTCTTCCACACTGAAATTAAGAAATTGCAGAAACTTCATGAAACTTATTCACGATCAGGTTTGAAAGTAGTTAAAAATTCTAGATCAAATATCATTGATAAGAATAATCACTTAATCATTCTTAGTCTTTAATTTATTTTCTGCTCACTATATAAAATGTAAAACTGACAAACACTTTTTCCAAATTATTAAATAAGAAATATGACCTTAATTAGTTCCATACAATTTTCAATAAATGTCAATAAAATTTGCTGTAATACAACAAAGGCTCGTTAAAAAACGAATTGTATCAATGATTAAGAAAGAACAGTGGCTTAAAAATTAAAATGTTTCTTCGATCAAAAAGCATAATTGTCGATTGGATAATTATGAAATCTATTCTTAAGTTTGCCAACGTCTCTCATACTGGCAGGATATCCTGTAATGATTATACATTACAATTAACATAACAATAAGTGTTACAATAAGAACCATGTGCATGTATGTTATCGAACGTCATTAATAATGATTTACTACAGCTTTTACTCGGCTTTACCGATTTGAATTCAACCTGAACCAACTGCTGAACGTCATTGAGTACGTGTTTTGACCAAAAACATCTATACGAATATGTAAGTACTTATATCTACCAGGAATATTTACATAACACAAAGATTACAGTGAATAATTCATCAAAAATAAAGATACATGTCAAGTCGGACATGAGGACTTACATATGATTTTCAGGATTGATAACGAATGATAGCGGTACGTTAATAGTTAAAAAT